ATTAGATTAGAAAAGTAAATTTGGTAAAGTCAAAAGAACCAGTTGAAACTTTGGTTACCTTTCATGCACGAGAATGTGTTTATATAACCGCGTTCTTTTCTTTGATTGTGGACTAACTCAAGCATGAATAGACTACTTTAAGTACAAAGAGTAAATAGATAAAATCTTGGATAATAACTGAACCAAATGCAATAATGACCAAATCAATTCAAGTGTTTTAGGAACAAACAACTTTTATTTGCAAAGGTAGTGGCAAGAAAATCGTTATTTTGTAGATAAAACGTTTGTTACTTTCACCGCAATTAACGTAGCCGATATTCCGTCTTATGTCCAGCGTATCAGTGGCGTGCGTCACGAAGCCAGAGTAGGGCCCTGGGACCAATGGGAAAATACTGGCCCTTCTTAAAAAATATTAGCTATTGGGCAACAGAAAATTATTTCATAAGAATCATAACTATCTTCTCCTTTCTCTTTTGAGTTATAAATATCATATTTTCTTTCATAAATTATTTAATTATATGTTTAAAAGATAGTTATTTTGAGTTTCATTGAAGTTGATTTAAATTTTATATAAAGGGTTGATCATCAAATAAATAGATCAGTAGCTAATTCATTGCTAATTTTATGCTGATTACCAAAGAATAACACGTGCAAAATGTGTATATGGCGGACGATTTTAAATTTTGCAATTCAAAAATAAAGCAAAGGAATGGACCGTTTCGCCCTCAACGAATTAATAAATGACACACAAGAATGACGCCGAATCATCAAACAAATTTAACTTTGTTGCATTTTTAAAACGTTGTATAAAACGTCAAACTCACTTGACCTGTCTCGCATTGAAGGTGAAAAAGTCGTTTAACTGTCTCAATTCTGAAGAGCTAGACAGTATTTTGACTGAATTGATTAGTGATAAATGACTTACGAATGTATCTATAATTTGCCAATCACAACAAATGATAACCACAAGCAAGTTAAGAATTATTAATTATGTCGCGTATTATTCATTATTTGCATGTGTTGTAGTAATCAATAAACCTTTCGTTGCTTTTTAAATTGATAATAAGCTGAAGTTTTATATTGCAGGAGATTATATTTTAGGAATGAAAAAAGTGAAAAGCACTTTCTAGCCAAAGACATGCCGTTAACGATATAAAATTTTCTCCCGACGGTCATTATTTAGCGAGCGCTTCCCACGACACAACAATTACAATATGGCAGACAGAGACTGGCGCATGTGCAATCATACTAGACGACTCTGTAGGGCTAAAAACTGTGTTATCACCTCTAGAAGGTCACATGATGAGTATATCAGGTCCAGGAAACTTTGTGAGAGTGTGGAACACAACATCTTATGTGGTAGAGAAGGTCTTGGAAGCTGACAATGGTAGAGAGATTCAGGTATATATCCAAATAAACACGTAAATTACTACTCTGTAATGTTGATATTTAATGCCGAGAAAATGGTGGAATCTAAACGCAAATTCAAAGTTTTTGCTTATGTGTTTCATATGCGAAAAAACAGATGACAAATTTAGTGAACTTTATTTTACAGAACATAGCTATAACACCAGACGGAATGGTAGTTATTGGGCTGTTTGAAGACAACAAAATCACACTTTGGGCTACGATGACAGATAATTGTGTGCCTAAACGAAGGTTTGTAAAAATGAATGATTTATTGAGGTTTTGAGGCATTCGTTCCGACATTCAATCAAAAAGACATGATCGCAAAACTGACGTTTTTGAAGAACTGATCAAGCAGTGCAGTAAGACTACGAGTTAAACAGAAAAAGCATTTAGAAGACTTTAATTGATTATTATATACGAGTATTGTAACTGGATTTAAGAGAAATTACATCGGGATTTACAGTGCAGTAAGAATACGAGTTAAGCAAAAAAGCATTTAGAAGACTTTAATTGATTATTATATGGCAAGCGTCACTTCCGGAAACATGGCGCGCTTTGATTGGCTCAGAAACATTTTTGCCAGTCCATTATTTTCCCGTAATCGACCATGGTCCGAAACGCGTAATTTTACTGTCAAATGTAAACAAACTTCGTAATGCAGAGCAAAACGCAAAATAAACGAAACAAAACTACTTACGAATGTGATTCGAAGGAAAACACTTGGAACAGTTAAACTATCCAGACGATACAATTTGAAACGATTATTTTTATAGACGAAAACTAGAAGTGAAAGCCAACCCGTAAAACAGCAAGGACGTGAAAGAAAGCTTTGTTTCAGGTGAAATAATGCCATGTAATATCTTTGAATCTTTTTACTGAGAAATATCAGACCTATGTCTTTTTCTACAAACCTCGCCCTACAGGCTCGGTCTGTACAAGAAGACATCAGTCCGATATTTCTCCGTAAAGAACTCAAGCTCGGTTATTAAGGGCTTAATATTGTAACTGGATTTCAGGGAAATTACATCGGATTTTGGGGTGACTATGGTTGAATTCGAGGGAGCTAGTTAAGTAGCAGAATTTTGGGCTCATACAATTATCTTTAAGTACTCGCACGCCCTATATAAATCTCACCTTGTCTTGAAGCAAAAGAAACAGTTGGGGTTACCCAGATAATATGCAAACAACGGCAGCAAATATATTAGATAATCACAGCGAATATATAAATGACTCTGTTCAGTATAGAGTCACTCATTATTCAAAAATATGAAGACTATACACTAAAAAACAGTCGATAAGTAAAAGAAAAACCTCAAAGCGCAGCAACAGCTGTCATATATACTCAATACACACTTATCATCGTATCAAACATCTAAATGTCAGTACACGTTCACTAAACTTAAAATTTATCTTTATATTAGGTACCTTCTTTAAGTTACAGCATTCTTTACTAACCTCTTCTACAAAACGCTTTCAAAGCCTCGGTAAAAGTACATTACTTACACGTTTGTAATTGAAAACAGCAGCGTGCTTCTCTGTCCCATCCTCGTCATTATTGAAACCCCAAATGAAGCATTCGACTGCATGGCGTAAACTTCAATTATTGTACTCACAGATTACCAATTGGCGAATTATCAAAGTCATTGTATCTCTTAATTCTCAAGTGAAGGTAGTTATTGTTTAGCAATGCTAGAGAGCATGAACACTTCTGCTTTATACAATACATATGCATAAAGAATTGTTAATGAGCTCAATAGAGTTATTAATATGAAATTCAGCAGTATTATTTTATTGAAATGCTGTCACTGTTTGCTTATTGGTGGGTTGCAACCATCCTCCTGAGAGTAAGAGAACAATGGAATGCTGGCGATGGTGGATGAAATTAGCATTGTAAATAAGGAAAATCCTTTGTTAAAATCATCCAACATGGCGACTATGACGTAGCTTGCAACCCAAGAATTGCTTTGATTACCCTACGTTTTAACTTTCCTTCACTTTTGATGAATTTGAGACATGCACTCCTATATATAGAGAGAGCATGAAAAAATACTGAAAAGTGTATTGGTGAGTAAAGCCTAGGCCAGACTATCGTCCATATCGACGAAAATCAGAACGAAAACTGCCGCAACAAAATTTTGAACGAAAACTCGACGAAAATTTCGTTTTCGTGCATATTAGAAGAGTTGAACGTTTGACCTTTTTCGTTAACGAAAACGCATACTATTGGCTAATAATATCAGACTTTGTACTCAAACATGGCGGAGTGGCAAGAGGTTTTGATAAATCAGGTCTAATAGACTTTCTAAGATGTGTGCCAACTTTAGTGATGTGAGGTCTAATTAAATCCAAAATGTAGTCAAAATTTGTCGTCCTCATTCGCAAGTATTTTATTTGTCTATTTTCATTGTTCGGCTCTCGTAATTCTTTAATCAAGATGTTAAATAGTCCAAGACGATCACGTCGTTTATTAATTGGATGAATCCAGTATCGACGTTTGCTGTTGCTTATTTTCAACTTTAAAAGCAGTAACTTTTTCTTAAGAAGAAGTAATCTTTTTCTTTTAGAGATCGCCATTTTTTCTAATCCGTCAAAAATGCCGCTTGCTTATTGGCCAAAAAAGTTTTGGCTTTGCAAACATGCTTGTAATTTTTCGTCGTTTCTGGCATGCATTTCGTGCACGAATTTTTGTTTCGTTTTCGTTTTCGTCAATATAGACGATAGTGTGGCCCAGGCTTAAAGGCAGTAATTTTTAAAAATAATTTTAGTATCGAGTAGGATTTTCTGCATGCTGTTGTTAATACGACTTGATCCTTTCTTACATCGCAAAATAAAGTTACTAAACTTATCAATATTAATATTAAAGAATGAAAAAGTCGACCCCACCTCAGAATTTTATTTTATTTCACATACAGAACAACTCCTCACGTGAAAGGTTACGACAATTGCTCTGCATGACGATGGCAATGAATGGTGCATCGCAACCGCTGATAGAGATGGAGTCATTAATATTTGGAATTAAACGTTTGGAAATAAGATATTTCGTTCAAGCAACAAAATCTGAAATGAACCACGAAACATCTAGGAGTGGAAAATAACCTCCGAATAACATTATGAGCATGCTTAACTTTATGAAGGCCAAAAATCACTAATGGCTACTTCTTAGCATACACATATAATAATTGACGTAACTCTAATATGCATGGTATAATTTGACCTTTCAAGTATAGTTTTATTTGTTGCGTTATAACGTTACATAAGTTGAAAGAAATAGGAAAAAACCTATTAAAATATTTATTTCGAATACAACAAAAAACGAATGAAGAAAAAGTAGAAGAACAATCCAATCAATTAAAACTTACCTGTTTCAACACTGATAAGTGATTCTCAAACATTCGTCGTAACTTCAATATTTTACGAGATAGGATCTGCACATGCGCGAAGGTATTTCTACACTCTTCCTGCGTACTTGAGAAAGGCCTATCGCAAATGATCTCGGGGTCTGATGGGCGGAAGCTTTTTACGTATTTGCATCCCCATGTAGGATAGCGAGGGGCTGAAATCTCCACCGAAACGTTAACATGCAGCGTTCTAGTGCCTTACGCTTAAGAAGGTATCGGAAAGCATGGACTGAATACGGGGTTTTTTTCTTTGGAATTTTATATTTGGTTTATCTCATGAAACTAGAACATTCAAGGATACTGCAAAGGTTCAAAATACTTCCGCCTCTTTGACTTAGAATTTAAACCAACTCTAAACATGTTTATACGTTTGTTACATGTTAGCTTTTACAATGTAACTTTCTCATGACTCTCTCGTGACGAGTGAGAGCCTCCTCTTAAAATATAACTTTCTCATCATGAATAAAAGCATCCATGGGCTTCATGAAAAAAAGGGATTATCTACTTTTTTATAATAGTTTTTACAAAGATAACTTTTAACAAGCTAGGGAATTTGTATCGTCTAAATTGAGCCTCGCTTTCAACCCTTATGTTATAAAATTTTGATTTAATTTGGATAGTAAATTTCTTTTTACCTTACAATATTTTCATGATTCAATCTAGAAAGGAACTTCTCTTCTCGAGCAATTTTGCGATTTAACAGAACACTTGTCTGATTCAAATAAATTCTTTTGTTCGCATAGAGATAGCCGTCCAATTTATTATCTACCTAAGCGTATATAAAGCATTTCCAAATCACGTACAAAATTCCTTTCACATGACCAAATTACCGTCTATTCAAACGATGTATGTAATAAAAAGTTACCTTCACAACTGAAGCAAACCCTCCTGGCATTAACATCCCAAATGTTATGCAGCACAAATGTAAATTTGACGACAAACTGCAAAGACCAACTCTTGAGCACTGTTCTCGATTACTGTAAATAATCATTACGAAATGTTGATTAAATATTCTGAAGTAATTATCTATGAAATAAATTTACATAGATGATGCAAATTATTTTTTGATTCGGCGGAAGTGATGTGCCATAGGAAGCAGAGATGATGAGTCAGCATGAGCGACGAGTTAGTAATATAAGTAATTAACAATTTAACAGTTGCACGTAGCACATATCGTCATGAAGCAAGAAATGTCACTCAACTGTTATTGGTTAGTTTCAGTACATTTAATCGCAAATAGCAATGTACTACAAATTATGTAACAACGTAAAATTCAGTAAGAGTGAAAAATTCACTGATAAATTGTCTGCAAAAAATTTCATACGTTTCCCTCCTCGCTATATGATGAAGTATAATTGTAGAAATTGGAAAACTCAAAAGCCTTCTCGTGGCTTAGCAGATTAGCTCTAACTTTAAAACGGCTTAAGTTGAAGACGAAACGTCGACAGTAATCACCCTTACCATTACTTTCCCGATGGCCGTGTTGAAAAATCATAGCTACGTCTGTCATGCTTATTATAAAAAGCTGACGTCAGTCAGAGTTAAGATGACTCTGAAGATGACTACCGCTAAGGTTGTCGAAACGTCAGTCTACATCAATAGCAACAGTCCTTCTCAGGACTCTACTAACCTGGACGATCTTCATCCACAAACATGTTACGATACTCCCGGGGTTAAACCATTTACTTTATTACTGTTTTGTGTTAGTGACCTGTCATTTTTTTAGTGAAACTTGCCGACATTGTGAAAATATTAGCCTGTTAAGACCAATACATACGTGGAAGACACGTGATATCAATGACTATCGCACACGTGATGACAAACATTGCATACAGCTGTGAATCGAGGAAAATATTTGGATAAATTGATTATAAAAGAAGCGTTGAGTGATTTCTAGGCAGCCGATGATGTATAAACAATTGAGAAGCGTGAAATCGTCAGCTTGCAACGTACCACTTATGTCACAGGTCATAAAATTGCCGTGTTTTTCCCTAACAATTTTTAATTGCATTGTTGCCTCCCTGGAGAATATTAATTACGTGTACGCACTCTCCAAAAACTCGTTTCATGTACTACTTAAATAAATATTACAGCATCAACTAATTTCGTTGATAGCGACGACTTTGTCAAATGACATCAATTTTAATTCTTGTGTTTTGATGGATATATATTTCTTTAATGCAAGACTTTTTGTCTTATTTAGATGTCCTTGAAAACATCAAATATACGTGGGTAGTATACATTATGCGCATGGCATTTGGCAAAAAATTCAAGGCAACTAATTAGCATGCGAATTATAAACGTAATATAAAAGTCATATAACAATTGCCAGAGTAGTTAGGAAAAGTTTAAGTCAAGTGTTACATTTCCGTAACAAAGTCGAAAGAAACAGGAAAAAATTTATCAAACAATTTATTTAGAAATACAACTAATAAGAAATGAGGGAAAAGTAGAAGAACAATCCAATGAGTTAAAACTTATCAATTTCACCTGTAATAAGTGACTTTATGGTTAACACACTTGATGTTTGTACATTCGATGAATTTTTCACAAGAGATTAATTTAACACATTTTATGTTAACACATTGCGTAATTCGCTGAAAATCTCTACGTGCTTGACATTAAATTTTTAAGATATATTTTACCTACAACATCGATGAAATTAAATCGACATTAAAACTTCAAATCTAAACATTTATTTATCGAACGACCTCGACTGACTGTAGTACTTTGAGAACATAGAGATTTTAGCAATAGAAAATTAGTTCCTCAATCTCAAAGCAAACTAACACATTCCTTAATAACAATTTTATTCTACATCATGTATTTCTATGTTCCAGAAAAAACACATCGTACGAATCATGTACAAAATCACAGCTCCGTCAAAACTAGCTTAAACTAGCGTACTGTAGTCACGATAACCGGTTTGTTGGCTGCAAGCATTTAAGAAATGGCTCAACTTATCAAGACTGTTATTAATTTAAGATATTCACAACTATAAAACAGTTTTAAATGTTGAGTTTTGATTAATCATCTTCGATGACTCAAAGTAATTTTACACACTTTAAATAAAGTATATTTACCGTTTGTTACAATTAACACATAATTCTTATATGATAATTGCGGTTAACCAACATTTCTCATTGTAACATAATTAGAATCTTAGAAAGTATAAAATGCTTCCCTAATCAAAGCATGTGCATTATCAGAATTCATCACATACAAAAGAACAGCTAAGCAATGAATTAGAAAGATATAGCTATAAGAAATCAGCTGACATGAGAACAGACATTATGGGTGAGCAGAGCATTTATAAAAAAATAAAGATGCGTTAACCTAGTCTCAAGTAAAACTTGCTTTAACTACAGTACTACAGTCAAACGTCTATTTAACTGTTTATCCATGGTGATCGCAACAACAGACATATTGAGGGCAAGGGGAGCGGTAACTTGTTGACTAAAACTAACAAATAATTTTTAAAGAAATAATCAAAATTACTGTAATCATTCAAAAAATTCGAATCAAAACTTGTTTGATCTCTGTACATTTACTATAAAAATTAAGAGTATGTTTCGGCTTGAAATCGTCTTCAATGTGCATTTGTCGCTGCAGTACATTATGTGAGCTCAGCACGAACAGCACATCAATTGTTTTGTTTTAGATATTGATGAAGAAGTCATAAATATTAAATCACCGTTAAACTATTAATTGCGAAGACAAATTTGTCAAACGACATAGTTCATTTAGATGATGGTGTTTCGATCGATATTTATTCAAAGAATATTTGTCATCCTTAGGTATCTTTGACAACTTCAAACATACATGGGTATTATGGATGCTGTTCGTTTTTGAAATGAGCGAAAACGTGAGTGGGGGAAACAATGAGTTAGGTAAGACAGCAAACGAAGGCTTTAACCATGATAAAATATAAAGTGACATATGAAACAATATAGTCAACGTATTCTATACGTCACCATTATAGTTTCAGTCCTCAAGGAAGAAGTTGTGCCGATTTATAATGAAAATTTCACAGACATTCCAAAAAACAGGGAGCCATATTATGTTTAAAGTTCAACGATGTGTCATCGATAAAGATAAAAGTCCTCCACTTGCAAATTTTTGGCCCCAGCCAAGAACGACGATAGAAGTCGAGATTGTCGTTCCTGATTTAAAAAACGACACAAAATTCTACAAATATATTGTATATAATCACACTTCTTGTTGCAAGAGTACAAACTTAACAGCCTTGAACTTCGATCAACACAAGAATCTATATTCAAACGAAAGTAAGGATTTCTGAATTTAATTAAAATCTAAACTCAAATCTAAACTTGAAACGCTTTTCCCTTTCTTTTTTCAGTTAACGAGACAGAATTTACAACAAAAGTAAAATACAATCCACTAAACGTGAGAACATGTAATGACTATTGCAAGAATCCTCAACCTCGTTTTCATCTGCACAGTGAATATAGAAAGGTTCTTTTAAATTATCTCTTTATCCCATTCACTCAATGCTTGCCTGGTTGCAAAGCAACAAAAAACACAAAGAACATCAAAACACAAACCGTAGATGGTTCAACCCTATATGAAGTTGTCAGGGAACACGTATCGTGCAATTTTTGGAATACTAAAGTCCATAAAAGTCCAACTTCTAATAGCAGACGCAGTGATCCAGGTAAAAAATTCTCAATTATGATTGAAAAAATTAACCAAAAAGCGTAATGTGTGTAATTAGATGTCCACAACTTTTGAGAAAAATTGCAAAATAATCATGTTTTACGATTTGCTCCATGATCTTATTTCCATAAAATTTCTCTACAGAAAGTCGACCCCTCGTGCTAAATAAAGGATTATTTGTCTACATCACATCACCAAGAATGATGTTAGTTGCCTTCATTCTCTCGACTGTCCTCATCTCAATACTCATTCTGGACTGTAATCTGTGTCATCGTAAGAAAGGAATGATGTATTCTATAAAAAGTTGTGGAAAGAATGAAGAGTGTGAAGACTGCGTAAGAAGACAGCAGACTATGATAGAAATGGTTTAAGTATCAGTAGTTTTTGTGTCACATTTTGGCTTGGAACAAGACATGAACAAATGAGGCAGAATGAAATTTATTATTAGAAAACTTTTATAAAGAAAAAAACTTTTAGAATTTATGCTACGTTCGCACGAATATCTTGTTAATTAAGATATTTATCGAATGAGTTTACTTTAAATTTCTGTTACAGTGATATAAAACACAAATTATAAATATGAAGATTCAGAGCAATATAGCTTGTGTACACCTGGATGAATGGGCTTTGAAAGAAAATAAACTAAACACCTTTCATGGAGACTAATGCCTGGAGTTTTAATGTTGAGTAAATGATAAGTACAAATTTTTGGTAAATGGAAACTTCTGTATTCTCGCACATTTTCCATCGTGACACGAAGATGCTGTGGATACAAGTATTGGCTTAAGGATAGAGAAATTAAAGCTTTTTTGTCCGATTATTTTTGAAATAATCACAGATGAAAAACACCGTAATGATTTTAGGGCAAAAATATGAATATATGCGAAGAACGCAAAGTTTAAATCCGTAATTTGAATCAACCATATAAAATGTTTCATGACAGGGGCGGATTTAAGGGTCATCAAATCCATCACGCGACGAACGTATGAAATGGTGATTAATTATTCATGCAACGTACTAAAATTAATAAATAATTAAGTCAACTATCACATATCGTAAGCCAAACGAAAGCATAACGATCAGATTAATTAATGGCCTGAGTGTACAGCCGTTTTTTTAAGGAAAGCTATGTAATTAGCCTCAAATA